ACCAGCTGTGAGTCATGATGCATATACATGTCACAGGCTGGTATGTCATGACGGCTATTCCTGTACCTGTCAGTGATGGGATATACATGCCATGTCCCCTGTGATTTTAGTTTATTAATTGTTTTTAAACAAGACAGACCTGCCTATCTCATCTCTTTTTCCTTGATTTTCATATTCTTTCTTATTCTTTACTGCTATTATAATAATCATAATAAAAGTAATAGCAATAACATTATCATTATTAACAGCAGGAAAAAAATGTTATTTGAAAATTCAAGGAATGGGGAAATCAGGTGAGGACACATAGGGCCTACCAATTGACTTCTTGGTAGCTGAGCATTTGAGAAGCCATCTGTATGCAAGAAAATTCACACAAAAAACTACAATGGACAGTACATTCACCTATGGCCAATGAGATAAATTTGAAATATAAATCCACAATAAAATTATTCATTTTTACTTCCTCTTTTTTGTTTAAACTGAGCTAAGGAGAAAAAAATACTGAAACCAAAAATAATCTATCCAGAGAAGAACATAATTTCAACATTGGAATTATATATTATTTACTTATTCTTAACTATGAAAACGAGACAGTGACAAATTGAATATGAGAGAGACAGATATACATTAAGAAAGACACTAATGGACAGAGTCAGAGACTCAAATGTAAAGAGACAAAATAACAGATATTGAAACAGGAGGTAGAGGCTGAGACAGAAAGCAAAATTGAGGCAAACAGATAGAGAGAGAGAGACAATGAGACCAAGAAAGAACAAGTGAGACAACAAGATACATGAAGGGTGGCCTAAAGAAAGGAACAATTTCCCAATTTTATTTAACAGCCTGAATTACATACCTTGCTATCCTCTTCCTTAATTTCTAGCGATATGTCGAAGAGGTGTTCATATTCTGAGTGATGCTGTCGGGTTTGATGTTGCTCCTCTTCCTTTTTTATCATTTTGCTCTTTGGAATTCTGCGAAATGCTGCAGCAAAGGTGATGAGAACACGAGCAACCTTGAGGCAAGAGAGAGAAATAACTGTCAAAGATAAGTCTATTACTAACTAAGCAATCTTAACATTTTGAAAAAACAAATCTTCATAATAAAAATATCTATAAATCTAGGACTCAAGTCAAACCTGGACTCTCTTTCAATGATAATATGATGCCTGACACCCCATATTGCACTGTATGAGTATATATATAATTTTTCTATTCAGCTGATTTTTCTTGCCTGTATACTCACTGCCTCTGGAATCTGACAGCGAAATACATGACACTGGAATATGGCTGTCTCATGTGTGTCCCCATGTGATGAAGTGAAGGCAAAACATCTTGCTTCTGAGGTATCCACTTTTCCCCGTGCACAAAATAGGATACGATGAATTTTGAAACGTGTCATCTCAGAGCTTGTAGTTGCATCATAAATTCTGAAAAGCAAATATATAATACATAAAGTTTTTTATTTTCTTGAGCTTTTAGTTTTAACAAATATAGCCAAAGCATTTTCTTAGCTGACAAAAGACATTTTAGCAGAAGGGAACTTACATGACATAGCCCTCAGAGTTTGATGGGACAGACACAGAGACCTCAAGGGCCTGCTCCTGGGCTTGATCATTTAGTATGGCCATGTTGCGTTGGATCTCAGCCTCACTTCGAGGAGCATTGATGGAGGCTGCTCCCAAGTATGTTACTCTATTGAATATTGTATAATCGCCGCTCCCGTCCTCTGCCTGAACTCTCTCCACTGGAAAGTTGAAGATTTTGTTAAGCCTAATAACAAGATATTCTCCTACTCTTGCAACTGTTGAATCTAATTTTCAATATTAAAATATCTTATGAGCAAAAGTCTTTAATTTTTCTTATCATTTATGCAGAATGTTGGGTAACTGAAGGCCAAATGGGAAATGAATTATCAAATAAGGATAGAGATTACATGGGGTATCACTAATATAAATGACATTCCTTTGCCTCTCAACAAAAACAAAAAACAGGAAAAAAAGTCATCTTTGGTATTATGCACAGAACTCACTGTCATCGTCTGATGCAGTCTGCGAAAAACTAGGATTGTTTTCCCCGAGGTTTCTATTGTCAATTAAGTTCTCTGAGTTGCTGCACAAGTCCTCGCTCAGAGTAGATGTCTGAGTGTCCAGAATTGGCAGGGCATCACAAGGAGTGTCATCATCTTTCTTTGTGCTAGAGTTTGCGCTTGTGTCGAGGCTGCCATTTGGAGAAGAACTGTCTTGGGCTTTTTCCCTCATTACCTGCAAAGAGATTATGTGTGAAATGATAACTATATGTAACAAAAATAATTCATTTATAAACTGTGAATCCTATTCAAAGACATTGATTTGTGTTTTGTCCTGTGAGAAAGAAAGCAAGAGGGAGGGAGGGGAGGGAGGGGAGGGGAGGGGGGGAGGAGAGGGGAGGGAGGAGGGGGAGGAGGGGGGAGAGAGGGGAGAGAGAGGGGGGGAGGAGAGAGGAGAGAGAGAGGGAGAGAGAGAGAGAGAGAGAGAGAGAGAGAGAGAGAGAGAGAGAGAGAGAGAGAGAGAGAGAGAGAGAGAGAGAGAGAGAGGAGAGAGAGAGAGAGAGAGAGAGAGAGAGAGAGAGAGACAGAGAGAGACAGAGAGAGAGAGAGACAGAGAGAGACAGAGAGAGACAGAGAGAGAGAGAGACAGAGTTAGTGAATGTGTGAGTTTATATGGAGAGAGAGAGAGAGAGAGAGAGAGAGTTTATGTGTGTTTATCTGTATCTATCAATATCCATATCATCATCTAAACATGTATCCATGAACATTTACTTTAGTCTAGACTAAAAATCTATCTATGTTTCTACCTATATATGCACAAGCCTTAAAGGAGTACAGGACCAACAATACCTCTGTAAGTTCATGTTGCAGGTCATCCATACTGCCGTTATTGGCTATGTTTAGCTGTGGCTCGGAGTCCTGACCTGCCAGACTCTCCACAATCTCATACTCTTCACTCGTACCTGCAGAATCACTCGACCTCAGGCTGGAACACTCTTCCATACTTCCCTGTAAGAAAAATGATATCTTTAGCACACATAGTAAGAGCCATGAACAATGAACATATATAGAAGCTGTGTGTGTGTGTGTGTGGAGTGGTCTCTAAGTTGCTATTTGATAAACTACAGAAAATAATCATCAGTTACTTTTACCTAAAATGAGGTCACGAGTAATCCCAACAACCTTAGAGGAATGTCATATAGTTTACAGACACTCAGAGGCAGACAGACACAGACATTAATACAAACACACACGGATGAACAAAGAGTCCAACACACACATCACACACACACACAACACACACACACACACACACACACACACACACACACACACACACACACACACACACACACACACACACACACACACACACACACACACACACACACACACACACACACACACACACACCACACACACACACACACACACACACACACACACACACACACACACACACACAAATCAACATTTATGTTACTGGATTTCATAGCAACTACCAACCATCTATGAGGATAATAATCAAGAACAGACTATGCCCAACATTATGAAAATCTTAAAACTACAAAAACATTAAGATAAAGAGAAGATCACAACATAAGCATAACACAACTGATTCAAGACACCACTGTGGGAGTCTACAACCATGGGTTCAGTTACAGACCAAAACCCTGATCACATAAAGCTATCACCTCAAAGATTCCACTCCACAACCATGATGCAGATCAAAAACCAGAAAACTAGATGTTTTTCTAACAAGAATACTAATGAAACATACAAGACTCAGAAAGCATCTACATAGACTAAAACTTGAAACAGACCCAAGCTGCAGATGGTGCCAACAGCCAAAAGAAACGGTAGAACACCTAAAACTACAAAGCCCATGTTTCCATGCTAACAGAACTAAACTAATAGAGGCACTAAAAAAATCAAAATTACAAATCCTAATATCTTTTCACTCATTAAAGGAGATAATCATCCATCAGTTCAAAAGTACTACATTTCAAGACATATGAAGAACAAGACTAGTGTATATCATATAAAACAGAGAACATAACAATAATTGATAAAAGAAAACCTGCAATCAAAAGATAGAAGACTCCAAGAATCAAGATCCAGGGAATATAGACACAATAATTCTAAAACCCTATAATAGAGGAAAGAAGAAGAAGGAGTTGCAGACCATTTCACAGTGCTATTCCTTGCTGTCTTCCTTTCTCTTTTTCCCTTTATTTCTTATTCTGATTTTCCAATTCCTGTCCTTCCTTTACCTCCTACTACTAAACAATAAATCTAATAAAAGCAAATCAAAGATCCTGCATGAAGAACCACAACATGCATCATCAGAAACCAAACAAAAGCAGCTATAAAAATGCATACAGATTCACCACAATTTTTTCAATGTGAATGCAACTGTAATATAACACATACTGGTATTGATATTTAACATAAAAATGTGTACTAGCACAACTCCATAGACAGCAGATTAAATAACAAAATTTATTTATGAATGAATGGCACTCCCTTTGCACTATCATTTCTCATGACACTACTACATTTATAAATGAACATCAATGAAACAATACCCTTATAGCCTCTCAACCAGTGTATTTTTGTTTTATGCTTGAAATAATGGTGGTGCAATAATCCCCTTCATCTTACATTAAAGTAGGACAATAATAGCCACAAATGAAGAAAGATTCCTGATGCTAAGGGCATCTCCATCAGCTCACAAGGAACCTTGATACTACACAGTTGAATGAAAAGTTATAGACGGAGGTATTCTTTAATAAAATGCACAGGACTTTCTCTGATTTATCATTGTTACTGGTACATCTATTTTTACCTCTCACTTTCCCTGATATAGTTCATAACCCCAAATGCTACGGCTACAGTTGGTTTCTATTGATTGGAAGTAAGATTTCAGATGGCAGATATTACACTCAGTTCACTATATCATGTTCATGTCAGAAAGTGAGGATTTTATAGAAAATTACACGGATAAACAAAAGAGAAAAATGTGTATATATATACTATATAAATGGAATAAACATACGCGCACACGCACACACACAAAATAAATAAGAAATAAAATAAATAAATATCTAGACAAATTTACCTTTTTCACTCAACTGCAAAACACATACCATAACTATTTCAACATAGACTATACAATATAAAACCAAATCATCCTATTCACGTAAAGCTCTGTAAAGCTCATATCTGGCCTAAATAATAATTCACTTTCACATTTTCCACTTAGAATAGTATCAAGGTAATTCTATAGAGCATGGATGCACTCGCCAGAGAGTAAGTCCCTAACTCCAAGTCACAAAATTTATCAATCAATCTAAGTTGCCGTGACTGGGCCACTGTCCAAGGGAAGGGTTGATGGGGGGCTCTGCCACCCAACAACCCAAGGGAAACACTGTCTTTACCTCAGTATGCATGGCAAGATAGATCTGAAACTCAGGAGCACGGAGTGTATTTAGGCTAAGAGCAGCGCTTTTTTCTTTTATTTGTGGTGCTACTGTTCGTGTCTGTAAATTATTTCTTGTACTGAGGACTGCAATGTTTTGTCCTCAACAAAAATATCATATTCAATTTGCCCTTACTTAGTGTCCATGCCGTAAAGATTAACTGATATCAATCTTGGAAATTTAAAAAATTTCCGAGATCAAAATACTAAAGCTCTAACTACAATGCATATCATCATTTGTTAAAAACATCATTTCATAGATACTATTTATATTCCTTTCTTTTCTTTAAAATATACTTTACCTCAGCATTTTCTACATAATTTAAATATGATACTGATTATTATGGAATGCTTTAATCAATACAGGAAATGAGTTAGTCAATTATAAATAAAGGAATTGAAGTTGGAGTCGAGTCAATGTCCGTGGTCTAGTATTTTGAAGAGTCAGAGCTTGAGTAAAAGAACAGTGATTTTCAAGTACAATACAAGAGTTGTATTTAACCAGTTTCTGATTTAGGTATATTTGAAACTAGTTAAATATCTCTTGTACTACTCATTCTTATTCATAACTTTCCTACAAGTAACTATATTCTGTTCTCTATTCATTTACTTTTACCAGTATGAATTTTCTCTGAATTATTTAATTAATTTCACAGTTATTTGAGCTTCAGCTGACAGTAGGTCACAAGCAATAAATGTACTTATAAACTATCCTTAGATTGTTGGTAAAGCTCATACAAATGCATTAACAAAGGCCATTACATGACTCAAAAGATAATACTAAACATTCAAAATAATCTAAATTATTAAGAATTTACATTGAAAACGGGTATTCATTCTCTAGTACTTAAAAATGTAGGTGGACACATCTACACAAATGATTTGAGTGCAGAAAAAAAAATTATAACTTAATAATATTTGAGTAAATATTACCAATAAACCCAGACAACTGTCAATAGCCTATACATAGCCTCCATGCCAAGCAATGCTCTGATAATATATATATATATTCTTGCAAGCCAGAGCTTAGTAATTTTAAATCAAATGAAAGAAAAAAAATCACTTTGAGCTCTATCTTCCCAGAACATACATGGTGGAGAACTGTTGGCCTTTGCTAGAGCGGTGACAGCACAAAGTTTCTTGTGTTCACTGAATGCTGCATGACTATCAGAATAGATTTAAATCTGTAGGCCCTTTATCTCAGTTCACAGCCAGTTTCAAGCAACTTTAGATAGAACAGGTCAAACACAATTACAAGCAAAAAACCTCATTTTGAAAATCATTAAGTTAATCATCAAAATAACCATTCTTCTCTTTTAGATTATTATAGAGTCTCAACCATTTTTTAACGAAATTCAAACATTTTGCTAAAAGTCTGTAAATTCTTTGGGCATTATATAGTTAGAACTGATGTTGATTTTACAACAGAAATTGATCTCTTACCTATTCTTTAGAAAAAAAGCTACCAAACACATTAAAATCATATCAGGCATTAGATCAATAGCTTCAGAATTTGACTAATATCATTTATTTATCTTACCTTCTCAAATGGATAATAAACTTCAAACCATAAAAACTTCATTGCAGAAACATATCAATCAATAATCAGTCCAGCAGGTTTCAGGTCTTGAAACGGAATCCTTTCTTTAAATATGATATATACAATTGGTGTTGAAATTGGAACCTAAATTATTACTTGGGTAGTATATAGATTACAACAAAATTTAAAACATAAATTAAAAAAAAAAAAAAATCTAAAGTAAAGTCCTCATTCATACTAGCGCTAATTTCAATATACAATATGATACACAAATCCTGCTCATTTCTTTTGTCTCTTACTTTTAAAAGTTTTAATGCAGATTAACTAATAAATCCAAATGTTACTTTTATTTCAGCAAAACGAATATAAAATACTTCTTTCAACACTGCACAGCAGATTAAAAAAACACATGAAATTTATATCTCTATACAGTCTAATGTATATCACTAAT